AATCTCTGTCCGTAGCCTTGGATGTATACCGCTTGCATTGCGAACAGACAAGAGCGTGCTATGGGGGCAGCAGAGTCTTGAACTTCTGCACCATGCTGTTGTACGACAATTCAAACAACATGCGGACACACTTCGTGGCTGATGCATCCATACAAGTATACTTTTTTCGCTGCGCCCGACTTGTTGTTTCGATTGTACTTGTATAATCGATAAAGTTACAATTTTACATCATGTTGTGGGTGACCAACCGGAACGTGGTCATCTCATCCATGTACAGCTTAGCGTCGGCAAAGTTGTCACAATTCTTCAAAGTCACCCATGTGGGTTTACAGTTAACCCCATCCAATGTTGAACGTAGTCCGTGTGTCGGTAGCGTTGAATCGCGTGAGGAGTATCCGAATACCAATCCATCGCTTTCATTGGAACTACTACTGGACTCCACATTGCTGCTGCTCCATACGCTTTGATGAGGTACGTTGGTCAGGTTGGCTCAGATCCGCTTCCGCGACTGCCGCCATCACCGCTCGCTGCACGTTCGAGGTTCATAGGTTAAAAGAGATCTGAGCAAGGAAGCAATTTCTGCAATCAACGTTTCATTACGATATCTGGAAATAGAGGGATGTACATATCTTTGAAACAATTATCCGCATTTCTTAAGGGCCTGGTCTGCGAATTCAATGCTTCATGTCTCTGTCTGCCTTTTATTGAAGAAAACAATTTCATTGGTGCTTATATCCGAAAACCGGATATTGTCCCTGCGTGGAAGTGACCTACGAGGCAGAGATTCGCCATCCACGCCTGGGAACGCCGTTCGTGTTTCGAGTGGTGCACACAAGCACGCCAACAACGGTGAAGTGAATGGAGGAGGCTACGCCTGTTGACCCCCCCCCTGCCATCGCGGGTACATGTCGTAGTGTGCTTGACCCTGTACCCTACGACTGTGTGGTAGCAAGCGAACCAAAACCATTGCCCAAGGGAAAGCTCTCCCGGAAGCAGCCCCCACGTCCGACACTGTGGTGCGACCAAAGTGTTGAAGCAATGTTCAAGCTGCGGTACAAGTCTGCTTTGGCTAGCCGATTTGACTCCAAGAAAAACTACGGCAATCGAGTAGCGTACGTCATGCTGGCGACCGAACTTAGCGTCGTCATGCAGCGGGAATTTACAGCCAAGCAAGTGCAAGACAAGGTGCGTTCGACATGACCATTTATTAGGTTTGTCATGTGATTGTTTTAGCTGGCCAAGATGAAGACAGAATGGTCTCTCTCCAAGCCAACGTTGCCTGCTCCGACTGGGAACTCTCCCCAGGCCTTTCTGCCGCTGCATTACGACGTAATGCTTGATTATTGGGGGGAAAAGGCTGGCTTCCGAAGGGAGTCGCTTATGAGCACTGACGATGCCAGTGATGAAGAAATTTCAACGGACAAAAATTGTAATATTAATAAGACAGATTTATTTGCATTTTGGGTAGTTTAATCTGCGTCTATTTCTCCTGTAGACAACAATCTCGACAATGCCCCTCTCGGCGATGACGAAAGGTATGTTGGCGAGGAGGCTCAGCAGCCAGAGCAAATGAAAAAGACGAGTGGGAAATCAAAAAAGACCAAGTCACCATCAGAGTCCCTGGAAGCTGGATTTACTGCCATCAAGGAGGGATTAATGTTTTTGGGGTCTGCGATGGCTCAACAAACACCTCCCCATCAACAAACACCTTCCCATCAAGTCATGGCTGCAGCGCCAACTCCTGCCACCCAGACGAGCTCTGTGGCTACTCTCGACGACGTTTTGAGTGCCATAAAGGCTCAATCAGACACCATGTCCCAGCTCCTGTCGCACCTCATTGCCAAAAAGGATTAATAAATGTAAATCATTTGCAATGTCCATTATTGATAAACAAATTTAGCCATGGTACTACGCTTGGCAAGGGCGCTATTCCGATATTCCGAGTTTGTTTCTACGTCAGCAATATCGAGCGGTTGAACGTGGTCGTTTCGATCGCGGCGATGGCACGGAGTGGACGATGGACACGGTGCGGGCGAGTGACTTCTCGTTCATGGCAGTCTTCAATATTCGGAAACGTTCCTTGAGTCTGCCGAATGCACACTCCACAGACATTCTGCTGCTCGAGTGCTTGAAATTGAAACACTTTTGTAATTTAGACAGCCTACCGCCTTCTTCATGGGGCAAATACGGAGTAATCAACCACGGCAGCAATGTATACCCAGCATCGCCGATGATGAAACAAGCCATTGGAATTTTGCGACGAATTGTTCTCCCAAATTTTGAGTTATTGTTTTGTCCGAGTATGATCCAGGTCGAATATCCACGGATATAAATCGCAGGTCCAGCTTGGACGTTTAGCGACGGGTCACCGTTCCGATTATAGAATCCATCGTAGTCGGCAGGGTGTTGAATATCGATGAGAGTGCCGTCGACTGCGCCAACGATCCCAGGAATTTGCTGCTTCTTGAAAAAACCCAACTCCACCTGGGCCCATGCATCAAATGTGCTCGAAAAATTGATCCATGTGTTGCACGGTTGGCCAAGATGTCAACCATGCGATGTACAACACAAATGCATCGCGACTTGGACATGCCAAACACACCACCGGCCTAACACCACCGGCCTCACGAAACCCACACTCGGACCCCAGAAAAAACAACAGGACAGCCACCTTCTTCTCCATGGAGTGCACGGACTTGCGTGGTGTCGTGGGAGCCTGGACGGAACGGAACCAAGCCACAATTCCAACAAACGTTGCTTGATTGCATCGGAGGTTCAAAAGGAACCATTGCTCGTACTGTCGGTCCCCCAGCATTGCATCGAAGTCGATGCTTGAGACGGTTAGGACATTGTACTTGGCTGATCGTGTGAATGCAGCGATTCCCACACAAACGGCAGATATTGTGCTTGCCACGGCAATCACAATGACATCTTTGGTCTTCATGCGACCTGGACACGAACGTTCGCAGACCACAATGCTTTGACTATCGAATATTTGTTATCCGTAGAGACATGAACACCCTCGGACATGAAGCATTTTATTCGCAGACCAGACCCTAAGAAGTCTCCCTCACTTCTTAAGAGTTCGTAATTTGCATCCACGGCTATACCCATCGCAAACTCGTGTCTGCATGGATACAATTTACAGGACCCTTTCTGGATGCCGCCATGGCCTCCAACAAAACTAAAATGCTGGTAATTTCCGCCTCGTACGAGGTTTCAAACCCTTCTTAAGAATACGTAAGAATGTATAAGAATTCTTCATCCCAATGTATTTCAAGAGTGTTCTGCATTTCCTTCCATCGCATCCCACACTGTGTCATGTATACCTTTGCGGTGCGCAGCCCCCTAAGGATGCCCCTGGGCCTCGAAAGCATTGCCTGCAGCTGTTCCCACGTACAGGAAAGGAGGTCCCACAATGTTCTTAAGAATGTTTTTGAGCCTCGTAAGAATTCTTCAATGCGTCCGCACCAAGGTACCTTTCGCATACTAAAGTCACACAGAATATTCACGCTATCGTCGATTCAACTGTTTGAGATGTCCTCTGATACTGTACATGCCATTGGTGTTACGCGCCACAAAATCATGCTTAAGAATTCTCAAGATGTTTCCTAAGAATTCTTCATTCCATCGTAGAAAAAAAAATGCGAGTATAAAAACAATTATGACATCTTTCACATAATTGCATTATATCTTCACAAACGGGGAATATCTCAGTGGCTTGGTACCTTGTTTGGAATCACAAGGTACATGGATCAATACCTCCCGACTTAACTTTTGTTTCCTCCGCATATCACAGAATTTTGGTAAATCACACCTAATGAGATGGACCAACCAAATTATGGGCCAACCAAATATCAATGTAATCCTTGGACAGCATTCGCCATATTTTCATTTCCAGGATGCCAGCGTTCAAGGTTGCCCCTATTTACACGTGCAACAACGATGTTCCACTCACGCACAACCATGTTACCTATCACTTCGCGAAGCACCATGCCGACGCCGAAGGGCCGGTGTACAGCAGGCACTGTACAAAGCGGCAGGACTTGATGGACGCGCGAGACGACGAAGAATCAAATCTGCGGATGGTAACGTATCTACTTACTCTGTTTACTGACTGTAGCTTATGATTATAGGTGCACATCGACGAGATTTGGGAGGCGCTTCCAAACTGGGAGATGAGGTTCAACCTCCTTCTCATGGCGCCAATCTACGGCGCCCTTCATATTCCCTTACCCGATTTTAGTTCATTCGTCGCGAAGTTGCCCCCCGGCCCGCTGCCAAAAGGAGCCGCCCTTCTGATCCAAGGGTGCCACGAGAAATTTGATGTTTATGTAGCACAAGCTCATTCTATCTATTGATCGTAGCATTAACAAGCATCCAAATTCTACCATAATAGGCTGGCATAGAGCAGGTCATGTCTATAGTGATAAAGAACATGGTTCTTGTAGCACGCCCATGGGGAGGCGAGCCCATGTCAACGTGAATAAGGCTGGTCCCACCTCTGAGTACATCACTCAGCGGTGGGGCCAGGCGAAGAATGAGTAAATTTGGACCAGTATTGGCCGAGATAGAGGTGGTCATGGCTGTTCGGATAATTGACGCCTGTTATGTAGCGCGTCCGAGAGATGCCAAGTCCACGAATGCATGTACGGTACTGGTCCCAAATAAACTCTGAGTACGTCACTCAGCGGTGGGGCCAGGCGAAGAATGAGTGAAAATGTATCTGTATTCGTCGAGATAGAGGTAGTCATAGCTGTTGTGGAAGCCCGACGTGATGTCCTCGGCACATCGATGATGAGGTACTGTATGACCGTGTATGTGTGTACGAGACTGGTCACATCTCTGAGGGCATCTCGTAGTGGTGGGACCAGTCGAAGAATGACTGGAATTGGTCCTGTATTGATCGTGATAGTATGTCATGCCGCATGATACTGTACATGCTTTGTCATAATAATTATGGTCCGGACCAGCAACACGATTTTCATGTTAATCGGTCAATAAAAGCACGCGCAAGTAACCCAGCAAGCGTGAAAACCCCAAGCACGCGTGAACCCCCCAAAAATTGTTCAAAATACGCGACACGAGTAAATACCCCAAAAAGCACGCGTGAAAACCCTACACCCAGCAAGACATCTGCTATCTCGACGAAACGGCGTACTTTTATTGCACTGCGCAGACCCCAAGATGCGGAGTGAAGGCGTTCAAGAACAAGATTGGGGCCCTGCGGGCGCTGCACATTGTGCAAAAGTTCGACAAGCTGGTCGAAACGGCGGACGAGTCAGACAAAGAAACCTTTGCATCACAGGTCAACAAGTTGCTCGAAGTTTCGCTTCTGCAGGCCATGGAATGGGCCAAGGAGGCTTGGCAAAGTGTTACACAAGACACCATTGCTAACCGCTGGTGTCATACGGGTATACTGGACGAAGAGATGTATGAGTTGTTCGAGAGTATGAACTACCTTTGAGGAATATAATGTGCGCATTGTTGTTGTTGTGCGTTTAGTCTTCTGGAGGTTGCCAGTATCAATTAACTCTTGTCCAATCAAAATCGAGCTACCCATCAAACATGCCTAACTTACTTAACTTTATACTTGTGTAAATTGAAAACCCCAAAAATCATATCGTCAACTAAGGATCCCTACTGGGAGGGACTACTGTATTACATAACTACTAGTATATAGATACATAATGATATCAATTACTAGTAAAGTACAAAATTACCTTCTATAGTTAGTGGGGCTTTTCCTTCTGGAATCGGATGGCCGCCTGGTTACTTCAACGAAGGGATTGGTGCTTGTATCCGTTCCCAAAGTCTACTAATAATGTGAATAGCCAATTCAATTTGCTAGACTACGATGAATCATGCTTAGCACCTCGTCGTCAGGAGTGCTTCCCTCCTCTTTGTATATATGCTTCATCGCATTTGAAAACCCGTTGATAGTTGAGTACGAGTTGTGCTTGCGTTTGCCAGACTCTTTGATGCCACCTGACTGATTCTGTTCAGCATGCAGTCGTCGCATTCCTAAATACTAGTCTCCTCATTTGAACTGTGCATACCTTGAAATACATCCTTCACATCGCTTTCGTACTGAGGGGGGACTTCCAGGCTTTCGCGTTTGAATTGATCCTTGATCGCCGAACGATACCCTGCGAGGGCACCCGGCTTATTGGAGTTGCTTTGGTACGACCATTTTATGAACGCAAGAAAGTCACCGTATTAAAATACGGCCAACTCGATCGTTCCGTCGGCTTTCAGCATTTCGGGGCTACCGTACTTACGATCAACTTCTTGATTTGGTTCAAGTCACTCTTGTAGCTAGCCTTGGTGGACTTGGACACGCGCATTTCGCGGATGTCGCTAAGCGTGGACTCTTGGCGTGGGTTCGGAAGCATGGTATCACGTAATGTGCTTGAATTATCCCATAGGAATGATTTTTCTTACAGCTTGACACATGTCGTGCAGGTTCATTTTAATACTGATTTCCCTCTTTCTTTGAAACGGGCCAAAGAGAATAATTTCTATAATATTCAAAGCGTAAAGCATGTTGGAACAAAATTTGAAGTAGCATTTCAAATCATGAAGCTGCGAATGACTCTGTCGGAGAAGCACGCGCTTTATGCTCACCACATGCAAAATCTAAGCGCTACATACACATAGTTAGCCACATGGGCTGCTCACAAGTTCGCTCTTGTGTCTCCTCCATCCAAACCAAGCATTGGACGTACCATTAAACGTCACGGTACATCAAGCTACCGGTCAGACAACACGGACAGGAATAACGACCGCGTCGTAGCTCTGGCAGACATCGAGGAGCGCATGCTTGAGTAGGTCTTGCGCTGTGAAGACCTGGGCGTGTGCATCATGGGCGAGTTGATCCGAAAGCAGGCACCTGTCCTTTGTGACCAAATGGATGTTTCGCCAGCACACTGCATTCCTTTTTCAAAGGGATGGTTATACAAGTTTCAATTCATGTACGGTCATACTAGTAAAGTCCAGCATGGCGAAGCCGGTTCGGTGTCTCTAGCCGATGTTGACGAAGACTGGCAGGCACAACGAAGATACGACGCCAAGAACCCCTACAATATGAATGAAACAGCGTTATTCTACTGCATGGCTCCCCACCGCTCCATCACAAGAAACCGTCAACCTGGAACAAAGAAGTCCAAAAAACGAATCACAATTGCCCTCACAACCAACGTGGATGGTTCCGAATTGGTTCACCCTCTCTTCATTGGGACTGCGGCACGTCCACATTGCTTCAACGGCATTGCAGGCACCGACTTTGGTTTCGACTACCTTGCCAGCAAAAGGGTTGGGTGAGAGGCAACATTTTCAACGTATACATGAAAGGGCCAAATGAGCGGCCAAATGAGCGCATGGTCACAGAAGACCGCAGGGTACTGCTTCTGGGCGACAACGCGCCTCCGCTCAAGCCGAATGAAGAAACACTGTACACTAACGTGAAAGTCAATATATTGGCGAAGAATACCACCTCTCACCTGCAGCCGCAGGACGCTGGTATCATTGCCTCCTTCAAGGCCAAGTTTAATCGGCGCCAGTTACAAAACGCACTGGATCAAATAGGATCTGTCATGGCTGGACGACAGGACACACTCTATGAAGTACCTTTGGTCGAAGCGATGGCCTGGGCCAAGGAAGCATGGTGGTCTGTTGCACAGTCAACGATTGTGAATTGTTGGAAACGCACTGGCATTATGGACACTGACCTGTCGTCTTCTCAGTGAGCACGTGGCAGCCATGGAACTTGAGTAGACTTCTTTCGAAAATTAATACTGTAGTAACTGTGTACTTTGGTATTCTTTGAAAGTTGTTCACATTCAACCGTTTCAACGAGGGGGGGTCAGTAGCGATATATTTCGATCATATTGAATTTTGTATTGCTTACAATGGAATTTATGGTCTGAATCGGAATTTTCACGACGAGTGTCATGCATTAAGTAAGTAAGCGCTTAACCGAAAGATGTCGTGCGAAAACCGTACTACAGTATCTGAAACGATTAGGCCGTGTTCGGACGCACCAAGAATCCAGTTATTTCTTGGGTTCAGATTCTGGAATCCGATTTTTTGTGTTCGATTGACAAAAATAAAAACCGGGTTCTTGTGCAAGAATCCGGTTTCTGGAAACCATCCATTTTGATGGTTTCTTGGAGGAATTGATTGGTATTCTGCTTTTCAAACGGAGTTTGGGGTTTCTGGGGTTTCGGGGTGTTATATTTATTCTCCGAGTACTGACAGTGATGAAAGGAACGTCGCAGCCGCGACCACATGTGATCAAGTGGTCCATCGCATGGTGCTTCTTCACCAACTATTTAACTAGTTAACATGTAAGACCGTATTCATCTTCGTGGGAGATGAATTATGTTCCTGCAGCGCAGAATGGGCTCCGCACTCGCTGAGTCAACAACTGATGTGTATGCAACTGACAAAAGCTACGTAAACTTAGCTTAGACACACGCAGTTACTTGTATCTCATCCTTGTAGAAGTTGGTACCAAGCTACTTGTATTTCTCCTTGCACAACTCAATGTGTTGGTCAAAACCCGCTACGAAGTCGCTGCACCATCGAATGGACCTTGAATGGTGAAGCGGATATCTTGCCCTCCAGTAAAGTTATATGATATGTAGCTACATGTACTTCTTCGTCTATGATCACGCTATAATCACGCACTACGCTTGCAGCGGAACGCGTCGTATTCTGTAAACCGGCGCAATCGCCGCCAAGAAAGCGTCGGCATGGCCGATTTTCGTGCATGACGTGCTGCAACATTTCGGTCAGAATACTTGAATAATTCAAAATAGCACATTGTATTTCATTTTATCTAACTGTCAAATGCCTAAAAAGAGCAGTCATATATAGTGGAGCCAATGAAAAGGAGCAACAACCGATGTGGCCAATAGAATACCAGTGTTCTTGTGAATTTTCGGCATTTGGGTGGCAGAGTTCCAATCGTGTTCGGTGCAACTTTTTGACGTAATCCGGATTCTGGAGTCAGAATCGATTTTTGCTCCGAACACGGCCTTAAAGACTTTCCGGATAAACTACTTGCGCAAAGCATCATACCTAAGGGCGTGTTCGGTTTGTCATGATTTGACTTAATTCTGGGTGATTATTGAAGATTCGTAGTGATTAGGGGAAATAATCACTTTTTCACCGAACACGATTTTGAGTGAAATGAGTCAAATTTCGGGAGTCAACTGAATCTACCTCCCGACTAGTGAGGGAGCTGTAATTCATGGTGATTCTACGTTTTACAGTGGTCGACATCTATAGGAAGACCTTTATGGTATTTTGCATTGTCCATTGCTACATCATTGTTCAAACCAATGACTTCCATTTCATTTTGAAGTTTAGCGAACCATCTGACAAAATATTTATGGTCAAACATTCCATGATAGTCCTTGGTTTCAGGTCTACCAGTTCGTTTGCCACCTTGAAATATATCTAACGCTAATTTCCATACAACAACTATCTAAAATTACAACAATAAAACAAAATCTTTCACCTTTGTATTTTTCTTTGACTTCAAGGTCTAAATCATCACTCGGATCATATAATGAATCATCATGCCGACTATAATGGTGATGGATATAACTTTCATCTAAATAAATCATAGGCCGTCGATTGACATCGCCTTTCAAAATTTCACACATTTCAGAAATATACATGTCACGATGCTCAATATTCGCAGCACATATTCGGAGCCCAAGACTCTTTTTCTTTTTGCCGCGTTTGTAGCCGAGTTTCGCCAAAACTCTTTGTGTTGCTCGATACGCAGCATCGGTTGAGAGCTTCGACTCCGGATCGAACGGCAACATGTTCTGTGACCGCTAGAAGTGGGCGACGTCATTTGCGACGGTACGTTGACGAGACTGGCGGCGGATGCGGACGAACTCTTGAATTGCGTCGACGATCTCCGGGGTGGTTGGGAGCCTTGTACGCGAGGACATGTCTCGGGTCGTTGTGGCCTTGATCGTGGTATCCCCAGGTACTGTAATATCACCCTTTCCAAACGGCTTGAACCGGTTCATGCTTTCGGCGCAGAAGCCGAGCGACTCTGCGTGTGGGCGTGTGCAGAGGAATACGAAGGAGGTGGTAGAATCAAGAATGAATTGATAGCGTTAAGACTACTACGCTATCACTAAGCTACGCGCAACCAACCATTGATGTATCGTCGGGAGAACACCTTGGTTGCGCAAGAGGACATGTTGGTCTGCGAAAAGACAGCTTGGACTGACTGTGAAGAGGTGTCGACTAGTCATCTGGTTACACTGCG